CCTCCCCTCCCCTCCCCTGCCCTGCCCTGCCCTGCCCTGCCCTGCCCTGCCCTTCCTTGCCCTGCCCTGCCCTTCCCTTCCCTTCCCTTCCCTTCCCTTCCCGCCTTCCCACATTCCCTCCCTCCCTTCCCCCTCAACTCCCTTCTTCCCCTCCCTTCTTTCCTCCCTTTCCAACTTCTGCTAGTCTGTCTTCCAGCACTTTCCTCAAACACTAATTCTCAAATTCTGCTGTGACACTTCACCACAGCAGACTTTGTGTTTACTATCCAGCATCTTCTGCCTCCCATGTATTCACACATCAGCTCCTTTGCTCTTTACCATCCCTTTCTTTCAGCATTATCCCTAAGGTGGTCCTCAAGCCACTTTTCTCTGCTTGACTTTCTCTGTGTTTAACCTTTCCTGAAATCACTTCTACTCTTACTACTGACATTTGAATGATTTGTCTTGGGAGGTAGTGTGTGAGACAAGTGGCGTTATGATAGTACAGTCAGTCAGTCATTCAGACGTGTGTTTGGACAGCCTGTGTCCATAATAATTCTCCTACCTTGGGAGAGAGTTAGCTGGCTGAAAGGCAATGTTGGTGGATTTCATTAGCTGACATTTTTTCAGTATTGAGATTGAGTGAGTTGTTAAATCATCATTACTATAGTCATTCACACTTTTGATGAAGATTTTTGTTAACTGGCTGTACATCACTTTATCTGCAACTTTATCTGTTTTTTTTCTTGTTATCCCTGATATTTACAACAGTAAATCCACTTACCCCTGCATGCAGAGCCGTGAGCATGCACATATGTCATGCATGCGCACACACAACATGCTGAGGCTTTGTTAATTGATGTTAATTGCTGGTGTTTTAAATTACAAAACATATTTCTCTATCGCTCTATTTGCACTGCTTTGTTCTAGCTTCATCTAATGCACTGGAACTCCACACTGTACAGCAGCATTGATGAGGCAGTAGGGAAGAAGCACGGCATAGCTATTATTGCTTTGTTTGTGCAGGTAAGTTTCCTGTGTTACACTTGTTACGATGCACTGTCATTTGTCTGAGGATAATGAGGTCCTTTCTGTGTTATTTAATTTTTAATGATTTCATAAAAGAAAACAATGCATGACTGCTGGTATTCTATTTGAAAGATATTTTTCAGTCATGTCTTCTATATGTGTGCTAAGCAATCAGTTCTTGTTTAAACAGGATATTGGAAGTATGTTAGTTAAAGAAGGGATAATACATAGTTAAGCATCTTTCTGTGACTGGCTATAAGCAGACATCCAGTCTTCATTCCTCTGAGGGCAGCATGAGAGCTGTCAGGAGGGACAAGTGCTTCACTATCTCTGTGATGTATTTCTATTAATTCCTGGCTGGGTCTGATGTTTGGGGGGTTGAAGAAATAGGCAGAGGAGGAAATAAAGGAGAGGAGGAAAGATTAAAAAAGACCTACTAACCCATTGTCACTGCTGAAACTGGTAGTGGAATTGTGCTTTCCTGAACACAGGGACAAGTGTGTTTCTTCACACAGGACGAATGCCAGGTGGAATATTACTCCTTCAGAGACTGAGAGTGTTAACAAGACTTGGCAGAGACCCCCAGAAAAGCCTGCAATGGGAAGGCTTAAAGCTTCCTGGGGACATGGCATAATGAAATCTGGGAAGTTAGCACTATAGTCTAATTGCTGTTGAAGGTTTTTCAAGGTCTGCACCCTATAAAGATTTTCAGTTTTAGTCCTCAAACACCAGATTCTCATCTTCCTCATGAGAAATGGCAAACTGTTTTATTTAAATGGGTTTGGAGGAAGAGGTTTAGAGTTCATGCTTAGATCAAATGGGTTTTCTTTCACAGTGATATTATTAATTTTTTGTATTTCATAACGAGTTTATGAGTGCCTTTGAGCTTTACCTCTGAATTTAAAGGTACATTGGTTACTGCCTCAACACTCAGATAGAACTTCTAAAAATGGAAGTTAGGAAGTCTTCAGCTTTGTGTCCTAGAGGGCTGTGTGATAATTGCTTATGTAAGTCACCTTATTCCAGCAGAGGTAACCTTCAAGTCAGTTAGAAAGTTATATATAAAAGTTCTTAAATAAATATGAAACTTCAATGATACGTTTTCCATTTCTGGTCTCTCACCCACTTTGGTGTTCTTAAGCATTCCAAAAAGGCTTTTTCATTAGCCAAGAGAGGAATCATATAATTACAATTGACCAAGGAAAAATCATTTTTAAGCTGTTTATTAAAGGAACAGGGAGAGGAAATTTGGTGATCATTTTTTTCTTGGTAAAGGCACAGAAAAATAATTTTGTACCACAGTTCTCAAAATACATTATTTTAAGGTCAGTGAAAATATTTTCACTGATTTAAGTGATAGCCCTTGGGGATTATTAATTTAAAAGCAGCATCTTTGAAGTGACTTCAATATCCTTTATTCACTTTGAAGGTTTGGAATTGAAATTCCATTCTGAAACAAAAGAAAATGCTCTTAAATTCCTAGAAATAACAAAGTACTTTTTGTTGCCATTCAGTTGTTTCCTTCCAGTGGCTACTGTGTCATTCTATTCCAAGAAAAACAAAAAGCAAACAAATTTTTCAGGGTATAGCTCTCCCATTCTCACTCATACTGGCTTATTTCTTCACCTCTCTTTTGTACATGTTGGCAAAGAAATCAAGTGGATCAAGAGGCATTCTGCCTCTTCTGGTTTCGTTCTGAAGGTAAAACTGGGATCCTGGAATGGGTGATTTGAGTCAGAAGCAGCTGAGTTTAATGTGCAGAGTGAGCAGCGTCCATATAAAATTAGAATCTCTTATCTCAGTGTGTTTCTTTAGAGCCCCATCTTCTGTGCCTTACAGGCGATTAGCAGAGGCAGTGCTGCAGCCTGCCGGGAGCCCGGCTTTCCCTGGCGTGATCCCAGAGATGCTGGGAGAGAGGGAATCTGCTGTTCTGCACTCTGCAGGCAGGAAAAAACTCCCACGAGCTTCAGAGATACCTTGGGCCAGATTTGCAACGCTATGGGAACAAATTCAAAAAGTGTCTGTTATGCTTGCTCACTCTGTTCCTTTCTGTGTACTTTCCTGACAAAAACCGTAAGGGCAAACTGTATCCTTGGCATTTACATGCCACAATACTGCATGATTTTGACTCCACATAGGATAGGTGCTGCAAAACAGGGTTAATCAAAACCTACCAGACTTAATTATGACTCTTTTTTTCTGTGGGTTTCTGTCTCTGCTTTAAAGTTATTTAAGCCCTGTTTACTTTTGGCTGGTGGTTTTATAATGATTTAATTTTTTGGAGTTGTCATGTCTCAGTGAGTTTGATTAACACAAGGTTGTGTAGCTAAACTGAAAGCAGCTATAGTACTTACTGTTCTGCTTGACCTGTGTTTTGCCTCACAGTTTCTGAAATACCGAGATACTGAAACTCATCTTTGCTTCCTGTATTTCAGATAGGAAAAGAGCACGTGGGCCTAAAGGCTGTAACTGAAATTCTTCAGGACATCCAGTACAAGGTAAGGCATTTTTGAAGCAATGCTTCCTTTAATGACCAGAGACACAGTGAGCAAAGGGTCTGTATGGAGCCAAGAGAAAGATTTCAGATATTTCTGTAGTAAAACCACATGTAAAGGCCATCATTTGGTGGCCAACATGAAAACCTCAGCGTTTTATTCAGATAATATTATTCAGCAAATATATATTTTTTGTATTTCTTTCTTTTTCTGGTGGCCAGAGAGTTTGATCTATACCAATAACTGCTTGCAAGTCCTGCCTTTTCAGTAATTTTCATGGAGCCAGAGTGAGTGCAAGCACTGGAATGTGCTTTGTGAATACCCGCAGCCGTATCTCCAAACTTACCTGGTTTTAATTTGGAGAGAAGAATAGATGGACTCAGCACCCATATTAACTTGCAGGGAAATTAGCAAAAAAACAATACCACCTTGTCAAGTGGATTATGTGTGGGGATCTTGAAGGACAGATAGTAATCCTAGCAGGACAGAGGATATTTGTGTGCTCTCCAAAATGTTGACGCTATCTTAAATGACCTTGACCAAGTTTTTTCCATCTTTTTGCTTCATGATCTGTAACATAGAAATAATCATGCATACCTTTGATTTTAAAAGGATTTTGAGGTGTATTGATGACACATTTTTTTATTGATCTGAAGAGATTACCATTCACTTCAGCAGATGCTGAAGTGCAGAAAAATTAGAAAGGAATCTTTTAGCCAAATAATATATGGTAAACTTCAGTCATAATGTTAAATATTATAAACTCTTTATTTATGAAAATGTCAGAGAAAACAATAGTGTATGGATCTCTAATTACATTACTGAGACAACAGCCAAGCAGAGGAAGGTCAAGAAAGGCCTCACCATTGTGTGACTGCGTTATAATGGTGACTTTCAAAGGGTCAGAATCAAGCACACTTTGGCATACGTAACATTTTCATGTATTAAATATGTGGAACCAACATTACTTTATTAAAAGTCAGTTAAGTAAGGCTCATTTTAGCCCTTTTTTTTTTAAACTTTTTTTGTATGAAACTCCTGAATTTCATATAGAGAATTTCAAGGCTGGTACCTGAAAGAAGTCCAGGTGCTAAAGGCAGAAGGTTGACAAATTGCTGGGATAAGCTTGAAAATGAAATAAAAAATAGAATAAAAATATTTGTTTGTGTACCTGCAAGGACAAATGCAATGATGATGAAATGAGGGCTATCAATGAGGTTGTTTTCCACAGGAATTCAAGGCTTAATGTTATAAGAGCACAGAATGTGTTTTATCTCGGCATTCATCAGCATTTTAATTAGAAGCTAGTGATGAGATTGATTTGTATTCATTTTTTCAGGGAAAGTCCAAAACAATACCCTGTTTTAATCCCAACTCTTTATTGCCAGGTAGGTGCCTTTGCTTACTTTCGCATGTGTGGATTAGTAGCTGATTGCAGAGGCTGAGACAATCTTAATCTAAAGCCTAGCCTAAACTGCAAGCCTGAGTGTGTCCCATAAGGTGGTAATGCATTTTGGTAATGCACATCCTAACAGGGATAGTGGTGAAGTCCCACTGGAATTTACTGTAAATCTGCACCTTTGTCATGTGAGTGCGATGTGTTACCGTAGTGGGATGTGTTACAGTAGCAGGTGCGCTGCTGACAACACCGTGGCTAGCTTTGTTGAGGATTTACCAGCCCCTCTAGAGAGACAGCTGTGTGTAATTCTTTCTCTACTTGGGATAAACTAGGAAGTGTAAGGCTACCCACTTAACAAGGTAGTTTGGCAGAATCAAAAGGCAGTGCCATTATGCAATGACAGCTGTATAGCATAAAAGGAGAAATGACGAAAGGAGGCAAATTCAAACTTACGTTTGAAAGTTAAAGAGTAGCAGTAAGAAATGTGACTTTTTTAAAAAAAAAAATTCTAAAAAGAGCAAGCTAAACTCTGTCCTAGTGGCAAGATCTTTAATTTTTCAAAGTAGCCCAGGTCTACATTAAGAGACATTAATTATATCAAAAATAATATTGTCTAGGTTGCAAAGTCAAGTGCTCAGCAATTAGGAATTGCAGGAATTAAGGGAGCCTGTGCCTCTCATACATATCCATTACGAAACATCACCTGATTTCATGACCACAAGTTATTTTTTACAGGACCCCTGCCTCACAGTTCCTGTTTGATGCTGATCAAGTCACATAAAATTCTTCACAACTAATCTCTAACTACGTGCTCCTCATTTTCTAGGTGCCCGACTTGAGATCATGGGGTCTGGTTTGCAGAAGTGCTGAGTGCTTACACCACCAAGAGAAGTCAATGGGAGCAGTGCTCTGACTGTATTATGTGCCACAGAAAGTTAAATACTCTGAGAAATCAGGTTCTAAGCATGTCATATTGAACACCTCAAATGAATAGATGCATTTGGCCTCATCTTCTCTGCCTCAGTTCCCCAGCTTTAAAGTGAGGGGATAATCTATCCTTCCTCACCACTCAAGGGTATGGGAGGATAAATTAATTCACTTAAGCCCTCCGGCACTGGAGAAGTGAGTGTATTAGAAATGTGAAAAATGAAAAAATATTCTAACAAGCAGGATTTCAATAGCATGGGAAAAAGAAGACTAAATGCTTCATATTGTACTGAGAATTCTAAATAATATTATGTGCTCTTCAAAACAGAGTCATCTGTCTTTGCAATTAAACGCTGAAAGGTTCTTCAGAAAAGACCTATTAATGTAACAACACTGTATCACAATGCACAGGATGGGCTGAATTAATTCTTGCAGTTCTTAAATACTGAGTGTTTGATTATGCAACTTCCTGTCAATGGATTTGCTGCATAATTTCCTAGCTGAGAAAGAAAATTACACCAACAAAACAAAATCCATTTACTGACAATCAAAGGCTTCATTAGCAAGATTTAATTCTACTGATATTCCTCTGAGCTAGTAGTGAAATGACAGTAACAGGTTAGTTCAACCAAGCAGGTTTATTTGTTTCCAGTCTCCCATTCTGTCCTTGTCAAGCTAGTCACAACCTTTCCCCTGGCTCTCCATGCCATGATTAACCACCCTTTGTCTCCAGTTTCACACTAGGTTTGTTTCTTGTCCCCTCTTTTACAGTCAGGCAGTTTCCTCTCCATACTTTTTAGGCTGTATGGCCTACAGCAGCAAAGGAAAGCACTGTGTTGTCTCACTTATGAAGTGTAGTGTGATTGGAATCTATGAGAAATTAAAATTAAAATAATTAAAATAGTAATTAAAATCAAGTGTGTTGTATGTAGAGTTAAAACTCTGCATGGTCAAAATACATTTTCTTCAGTGACAGTTGTTTATTCTAACTATTTATAAACCTATTAGCAAATACATGAACTTAAAAAAAATATGTAATTATAACAGAAACCTTGATGTTTTTCCCCCTCTGAAATTCAACTCACTTTTCCAAAGGTAGGAAGCACCAGTTAATGTCAAAAAATATGTCACCAGAACTGCAAAGTGAAAAGTTTTTTCTTCAGCTGAGTTTTCATTGATTTTTTTTTTCTAAAAAATGAAATAAAATTCATTCTTGAGACATAGCCCTGATGTAGAAGCAAGTTAAAATTCAATCACTGCAGACCCTCTGCCTTCAAAATTCAATGTCTCTTTTAGCTTTTGACATTAACAGGAATTCTTTTATTCCAATAACATTTCTTATTTGCCGTGTTAAAGAGCTGTGCGCTTGTTATTTTTCACATCTACAAAGTGGCATTTTAACATCTAAAATGCCCATCTGCAGGGTAACTGACTGTAATATAATGACCACAAGCTCAAATACATTCATGTGTAGAAGCAGTGGGCAGTGCTTGGTAGGTTATAAATTCACACCTTAGCTTCTGCTTACTAACTTCATCATGTGAGTGAGCCCACAGCTCTCATAACTGAAAGACACCATCAGCTTCCTTAATGTCATTAAAATTCCATATTTCTTTTGATTTCAGACCCTCTTCTGCGTGACTACTGGGTGTATGAGGGCTCTCTAACCATTCCCCCCTGCAGTGAAGGTGTCACCTGGATATTATTTCGCTATCCTTTGACTGTGTCCCAAGTGCAGGTAACAGCTGTGCTTAAAGTGACCTTGGAATATGGTTATGAGCTAAAGGTTATTGCGTGCAAAAGTATATATCAGAACGTTATGTCTGTTCTCCTTAAAGATCCCATTAGATCAGTACATGGCTTTTCAAGTAAAGGTTAAACCTTTTGAGTCACTGAAAGCAACGCAAAGGTCAGAGATGAAAAACCTTGTTATCATTTATCATCTGCATTTAAAATAATTCTTATATTTAAGTGAACGAAGAAGAAAGAGGGAACTCAATGGGCAGAAGAATTTCAATTCTTTGTAATTGTAAGCTTTCAAATATCACTGCTTTTTAATGTTAAGGGAACAAAAAAGCACAGGGAGGCACTACGTCCTGGAGAATGAAAAACGTAGTACAGACTGGCTAGACTGCATTGAACTACATTTAATTTACCTGGCCCTTTTTTTAATTCCATTTCATAATAAATGTTAAATGGAAACTACCTATTTAAATTTGATTCCACACATATGTATTTTCAAGTGTTTGGGATTTTTTTTTTAAATTAAATCTAACAGTTGTGAGCCTTTCTATGTAAAACTTTTCAAATCTATCTACAAATAATCCCAGTAAAAACAAAGAAAATTCCTGATGAATATTCTTCCACAGTCTGTGAATCCCAGCTGGAGGAATGTGTTTTTAATTTAAGTGAAACTACCTAGAATCCCTGAAGCTGAATGCATTCATTTTCATTGCCTGCTCTGAAGCATGTGAGAAAAGTATAAAGGGTGATAAATTCAGATTTAAATTATTTCAGCTTTAATAATTTAAAACCTTGCTAGTGATGCCAGCACAATATTTTGACAATTTAAAACTGGCAGCATTTCTTGTTTTATGGAAACTGAACTAGTTCTAATCATAGGACAAAAGCAATAGCTCCCAATAAGTTCTTTGTCTGGTAGCTGCAACTTAAATGCATCCCATCATGATTCTGTTATTTGTTTATGAAAAGGTAAGAGTTGTGGCTGCTTACTACTCAGTAAATGCATTACTTACTATTGAGTAAACAGCATTCTGTTAGCATTATGAGATTCAGAATAACTTTTAAAGACAGAGTGTATTTTGTAACTTGTTGGCTAATTGTCCAGATATGATATTGATAAATGAGGGGACTTAAGCAGGTGTACAAAGTTCACAGCTATTACACTGAGACATAGTATGATATTGCTAGTTTCAGATTTTGTGGTCTCTGTTCCCTTTTAATCCAATCAGTGTACAGAGGAGAGCCGAGTTTATACCATCCACATGTAGTGGGAGACCGCAAGAGGGTGAACAAAAGAGGAATTAAGAAGAGAAGTGCAACTTTAGTTAGTATTACTATGTACTAATTTGCCACTAGAAGGCAGGATGTTGGAATGTTGTGTGAAGGGGTAAGACTCCTGAAAGGAATATTGTGCCTGGAGAAAAGACCCATAGTGGAGGGCCAAAGACTGATATTCACAGCCATGGCCTTTGTTAGGTGAGGGGTAGCTGGTTTGTGTTGCTGCATTCCTTTGATAGATGTAAACCCAATCCAAAACCATTGCAGTGATGAAGGGCATACAAGTCATGGAGCAGCTTTTCCCTCCCACTGGCACTGCATGTGGGTGAGAAGTGGCACTGAAGTCGAGTGATGGACTGGAGAAGACTTATGCCAGGATGATCCCCTATGCTTATCATAGATAAGTATCAACTAGAAAAAAATTCCTCAGTGATATTTATGATTGCAGCATTAAAGTTAAGGTTGTGCAGGAAAGATAATTATTAAGAACTTGAAAGGCTTTTGCCAAGGTGGGTTAAAAAAATTATATTTCATCAGATATTTCTTTCAGATGTCAATGAAAAATAAGTACGTCAATAAAATTAATATATATATGAAGAATAAATATGGGATAAGTGAGAGGAGATGAATCTGGGATTCGTAAATTGAAAGGTATTGTGAGCTCTCCATGATGCCCAAAATAAGATTTTGCTGGTTCTAGAATATTTTGCTATAGCCTAAAATTCCAAGATTTTAAATTGTAATTAGCATTTTGGCTGCAGTGATATACCTGGCCTATTTTGTGCATGTGGGCATGAGAGCCTATGAGAGATTTCATTTAATCACAGAACCGCAGAATGATTTGTGTTGGAAGGGACCTCTGGAGGTCATCTATTCCAAATGCCCTGCTAAAGTGGGTTCATCTAGAGCAGGTTGCCCAGGAGAGATTAAGGAGAGATTAGAAATGCAAGGGCTTTTGTCTATGGAAAATAAGAGGATGTAGTATAGGATATACCATTTTGAATCTTCCATGGAAGGCTGGTAGAGGCATTTAATTTTTTTGAGCCAGCTTGTAGTATTAAATCATAGATTTCGGTGCAAATGCATTTCTAATGGGTTTAAATACATTATTTTTACATGAGTCATTACCTTGTAGAACCTTCTTCTTTGGGATGCTAATGAAATGCCAAGTGCTTTATAAAAATACAAGTAACATCTGTGGTTATAGCCAGTGAGAGACAAATTCAAGGCTACTTTCATTTTTCAGACCATGCAATAATCAAGTTCTGGGTGTCAATATTAAGCAAATAAAGTATTACATAATATAATATGAAATAGGTTTTAATTCTTTCCTCTGATCAAACTAGTTCATATATTGGAGACAAGATGCTAATTTTCTGCAATTAACACAGCAATATTGATCAGCTTTACGAAGTGTGGGTCATAAGGGCAAAAAATGAATAAAACTGCCATTCTATTTCATGGTCACACTCATAAAATATTTTCACATTTTGTTATTTTGAAGTAATGAAATTACTGTTCTGACAGTCACAATATGCTGACCATTACAAAGTAGAGAACCTTTTTTTTTTCCTGAAGACTTTTTAAAGATGGTAAAGTTCAGCTGATGAGTAGTGTGCTACTGATCTAAGTCAATGTTAAGAGAAAGGAGATCTGAGTGTGCTGTTTATGCGAATAGCAAAAGAGTAATTCAGGACTGCAGCATCAGGATATGCTTTCCTGGAATCCTGAGAAATGCTGTTTCCTTACTGGAAGTAATTTTCTTTGTCATGAGACTTCACTTTCATCAAAAAAGTCCTTCATAGGTCATTCTGTGAATATTCCTGTCCTCCTATTGTGATTTTTGTCATCCTCACTTGACTTATGTTGAAATACACTGCCCAGAAAGAACTGTGTTGATTCTTTTTGTGAGAAACCTCACACAGGCATATACACTGCTGAAATCCAGTGGGAGAAAACTCTTATTAGGCCAGTAAAAAGCAGGAAATAATTGAAAAAGACTTGGTTGTGCTTCTCTCTGCTACATTTTAAAAAAATGGGACATTTGTGAATAATCTGCTTTGTGGTTCACTGAAGCCCAGAATGAGTGCACTGTCTAAGGCACTCAGAGTAGGGATTTTAAACAATGATGCAGAAGGACCTGTCATTCTGCTGTATTCATTGTCAGAGTTAACTGGTCTTTTATTGAATGTCATGGTCTCTAGACCTTTTGTCTACCTCATTCAGAATCAAAAACTGCCAAAGGACAGAAATAGTAACTAGCATATGGAGCTGTAGTGGAAATTGTGCAAAATTTATGTAAACTGTAAGATAAAGCACTCAGAGCTTCATGGTATTCTGGGTGCTAGGAAGTAGGTCTGTGTTCTTGGAAGGTGTCATGGAGACGTGAAATTGTCAAACAGAAGGATAATACTTTTATGCCTCATATGAAGGAAATGTTTATAGAAAACATGCAAATTAGTTTTGTGTGCTCTATTCTTCAGCAAATATGTAAGTGAAACAGAAGAACATGGTATTCAGGATCTGAACACAATGGGTGGTAAAAAAAATTCTACACAACATGAACATGAACTGTTTTACTCAGTCAAAATGCAACTGTTCACATTGTGGATTTGCCTCTACACTGGTTAGAAGTTACTATCAAATTTCAATGTGAACAGGCATAGGTCATCCTTAATGTCTTCTGGGCAGGAGAAGAACTTTTTAAAGTGTCTATTCCTGGTAAATGTGTGTGGATATCCAAGGGTGCATAGCCATATGCCTCTAAAAATCTGTTTCATTGGCAGTCCTGCAGGGTGTACTCCATAGCATTGGCTTATGAAGGGTTGGGAGGAGATGATAAGTGGTGAAACAGGATAAGCAGGGCACATGCTATTTTGCCACATGGAAATGTAATAAGGAAAGTAGTTTTGGCACAGGTAGGGTCCCAGGGAGAAGTACTTCTCATGAGTAGAGCAAACCACCATGTGTGCAGAGGGTCTCTGTCATGGCAGTCTGAACCATGGAAGGAACAGCTAAACAAGGAGGCTGTTGATCTCAGAAGAAATTCCCCCTTGGAGCAGAGCTACAATTCTTGGCTTTCCTAAAGACTAAAGAGCAGGCACAGAGATCAGGTCAGTTCTACTCTCCTGACTGAAGAAACTGGAAGCTGCTTTGTGAGGAGTACCTCCTGGAGAAAGACTTCACTGTGGGAACTGGGACGGAGCATTTGTAGTTACTGTAGGAGACAGCTCACAAATGCCAGCTTTGCAGAGAGTCTGCTCTTTCCTCTCCTTCATCTGTGTTTGTTTGAAGTATCTCATTCTCACAAGATCAAACAAAAGCCACATTTTTGTAAAGTGCTCCTTCCTAAACTGCAATTATCTCAGACTTGCCAGAGTTGATTCAGATGGTGAAAGAGGATGCTTTTACAAAACTACTTCAGTGATTTACCAGCTCTTGAGTTCTGAAGACTTTTTCAATTCCAAGCTGGTAGTGGGTTTGTTTTCAGTTTGCTTTAAGTAAACAACAACAACAACAACAAAAATCTTCCATAACAGGATTCTGTCTCTAAAAGCACCTTCAAGGAGCTTTTTTCATTTTTGCAGTCTAAGCTCTTGCCTTATATCTCAGCTGCCAGAAGCTGAGTTGATTTCCAAGCACGCTGTTTTTTTGAGGAAAATGAAGCAGAGAAGAGCTAAGCTAGCCTCTAAATCAAGTAAATAAGTCTGTATCAGTACTGCTATAGAGTGGAAAATAGCAATGAGGGCAGTTGTGTTCCAGGTTGCAGTAAGAAAGTATTCTCTGGAAGGAGGCAGGATAAGAATAAAAATGCCATTACCTGCTGTTTAGTACCTCATTTAATTTAATTCTGGAATCATGCTTACATTCTCTCTGTAATATTTCCTAGGGTGTTTTTCATGGAGAAATTATCTCTGTAATGTTTTAGATGTTAAAATGATTGTGTAGGCTCCACTTCACTTTCTGTGTATCTTCAGTTTCAAGTTAGAGATGAACTGCATACTGAAGCATCACAGGGTCAGTACAATTACAAAGGCTGAGGCTTTTGGGGAGTCATCCATTAAGTATATTTGCTGTATCCAGCTAAGAGAGCTTGTGAATAAATCAAAGAAACATAATTTTTTCTAGTAGTTGTAACTATTTAAAGTACCAGACACCACTCAGCACTGGTGAGCAGTAAGGAAAAGTGTTTTATCACGCAGCACTTGATGCTAATACCAGAGATGGAGATGGAAGCTGCTCATATTCTTCCCTACACCAGATTTAGATTTAGAAAAATCTAAAAAGAGTCTATAAGCAAGAAACATATTTGTTTTGGCTCAACTGAAATATTTTATATTTATTTTTTACTGTATTTGACTTTCTGACTGTCAACATGTACAGATCTTTTGAAGCAGTATTTTGTTTTGATCACAAAAACTGTATTTTTCCATATAAAATGTCAACAGGCATCCTCTAAAACTAAGAATCTGTTCAGTATTCTTCTGATTTAGAAGATAACAACAGTTTCAGGCAGTAAATAAATCACTAGGAGAATTTTCAAACAATTTGTAGTCAAGCAAGTTATTCCTGAAATGCCCTTCTTTGAAGAAGACCAGAATTACTACTCTAAGCACACAGCAGTCAGGCTGAATCATAGGATATAATCTGAAATGGCCAAGATGGTTGTAGATCCTTAAAAGAAGTTGTGAATAGGCAGAGGTTAAGTTTGTCAAACCATGTGCATAAGAGTTCTTGTTTTTCTCTGTATCTCAAGTGTTTTGACAGTGCTGATAAGTATTTTAAAATGTTATTAATGTAATTAATTACTGACCTTACTATATGACACCTGAACACTCCATATTTCAAAGCTGTGGAATTGGCTGGACAAGGCTAGTTTTGATCATTAGTCCCATGGTGAAGAATGTGTCCCAGCTTCTTCATTTCTGTTTTTCTGTCTTTCAGATAGAGGAATTTCGAAGACTGAGGACTCATGTTAAAGGTGCTGAACTTTTAGAGGGCTCTGATGGAATCCTAGGAGATAACTTCAGACCAACTCAGCCGCTTAGTGATAGAGTCATCAGGGCTGCATTTCAGTAGCAGAGGAGGGACAGTGATGAATCTTCAGTCAGGTAAGTAAAAACTTAGGGGAAAAGTCAAAACTTTGAAATAATTTAGCTAAAGTAGAAAATGTACTTAATTTTAGCTAATGTTATGATACGTTGTCATAATTGTAAATCTTGACACTGTAATATCTTTTTCATCCTGTGTATAATAGTTTGGTTATGTCATGGTTTAACTCCAGTTGGCAACCAAGCCCCACAAGCTGCTCAGTCACTTTGAAGTGGTGGGATGGGGGAGAGACTCAGAAGAGTAAAAGTGAGAGAATTTGTGGGTTGAAGAAAAGACAGTTGATAGGTAAATCAAAAGGCATTCATGCAAGCAAAGCAATAGAAAACAAGAAAGTCATTCACCACTATCCAGGCAGTGAATCATGATGCCTATTTACTTCACAATTACTTCTTGTAGCTTTAAATTCATCCTGCTGCACTGAGGAAGAGCACTGTATGCCTTGGTTATGTGGTATATTTCCCAGTTACTGAGTTTTACTGGTTGATTTCTCACCATGTCTCTAGAAGACCAGCCATCATTGGTGGATCTTTTCACCCTCACTACTACAGGGTAGTAGTTGTGGAAGGAGGCACTCTTTTTTTTCTTTTTAATTTTTTTATGATGCTGTTCTTTCCCAACAAGACTGAGTTCTGGGCAACTCCAGTGAAGGTGCAAGAGGAAACAAATTAAATTCTGTCATGGTTAATTCTTCGTATTTCATTCATCAAAGTAGTTGCTGCTTCTTTTCCACCTTTGTTGACTCACAGAGCAAGAATTTGAGGATGACATAAGAGAAATACACATATGAACCTGCATTAACCCTGCTTCAGTTATTAAAACTTCTCATGTCATGTTCCCCCAGCCTCTATCAGTTACAAAATAAATCCCCTTAATGCTCAACAGTTACTCCTAATCATTATTATACTTAGTTAAAGGCAGTTTTGCTATAATGAAAAACGTGGCAATGAGATTCAAAGAGAGTAAAAGTCCAGAGAAGTGGTTGAGTCACCATTCCTAAAGGCATTTAAGATGTGTAGATGTGATTTGAGGGACATGGTTTAGTGGTGGACTTGGAAATGCTGGGTTAATAGTTGAACATGATGATCTTGAAGGTCTTTTCTAACTTAAACAATTTTATTATTCTAAGACAAATTGAAATTAATGAGCTGAGGCACCAGCTTTATGGTTGATTTTGAAAAGAAGTGATCCCACTTTAATGCAAGTAATAGGAGAGAAAGTCTGGGGAAGCTTCAAGAAAATAATCTGTTTGATTGCTTTCTTCAATAAATACTACTGCTTTTTAACATAATAATTTTTTTCCTCTAGTTTTCCACAAATAACTTTATTTAAATAATAGAAACATTGGGTATTCCCCATTACCCTATTTACTGTTGAAATACATCATATAAAAGCCTCAAATTTTCTATCTTCATATTCCTTCAAAGCTACAAAATAACAGATTCTTCTGGGGTTTCATCTGGAAAGCATGCTGCTAAAAGGGTTTTGATAAACTGTTTTGGGTATGGATATTTATTTGCACTTTAAATTCTTGCCCTTGCTAGTTCCTATCAGGTTGTGGAGTTAAGCCCATTCAGAGCATGCTCAGGATCCAGTCTCCAGTTTCATGTGAAGTAACAAATGATCAGGCAGCAGATAACCCATAAAAAAGATTGATAATCCAAAAAAGAAATCCATTGAAACTATATGAAAAGATTATCCTCCCTCCTGCATATGATAGAAATTATTAAATTGACTAGGACATTTCATGGTCTTTCCATATAGCATAAGCATTCGATATAGTGTATGCATCTAAACATTTTTGAAGTAAGGGTTTATTTGTATTTTATAACCCTACTTAATATCTGCATCCCAGAAGTTAAACAAAAACCCCAAAACATTGATTCATTTTTAAAATATTATTTTCTTATTCCCATATTTAATTTTGGGCATATTCCTAAGACCAATTCTCAATTACATGGTTCTCTGCGGTAACCAAGTGTTGTCACTTTAATCTTGAAATGGATGTTTCAAATTCATCCCAGCTTCTGCATAAAAATTACTTGGGAAAATTGTAGCAATATTAAAGTACAATTTTTCTCAGAGAGTGAATAATGTCCTCAGGCCAGTGCAGGTAATTCAAGTCTGTAACAGTGAAATTACTTGACACACTGAGTTTGAATTTTAAGCATGAAAGAGTTTCCTTTACAATGATGGAATTGAAATGTTAAAATTTCCCTTTTGCTTTCATGTTTGAAATTTCATTACATTTGTCAATACTTATAAAGATTTGTTCTATATAATAAGATTTATCTCAGCTTTGCTTCACAAAATAATCTGCAGTTTTAATTCCCAAATGATGGAATTTTTAATTCAAAGTAATAGTCCTCACTGTGGGGCCATACTAATTGTGGACACTCAAGCACTGAGGAAGAGCCGTGACTCCTGACACAGTGTAGCTCACAGAAGAAATGATACTTGTTTCCCTACACCTAATTGAATTATTTATCGGAAGATCTTTTCAGTTTTGTGTGCTTCAGTCCAAGTAGCACTGAACTAATCAAGGTTTCATTATATATCTTTGCTATTAAGTTTAGGGAGCTGAAAAAAATGAAGTGTAAAAGGAAATCATGTGGCTTTGTTCACAGTTCTTCTATGCAACAGGGTAAAAAGGGAAGGAAACAATCCTACTTACTTTGTAGTGATTTCCTCACACCTCCCCAGGAGGAAGGTGTTGAGGAACAGTAGCTCCTCACACGGACCTCAGAAATCCTGGAAAAGATTCCTTCCTTCACAGGAACAAGGGAAGTCCCTTAAACTGGGATTGCTGGTATCAGCTGACTATTGCTATGAAGACTCAGTAGTAGATGGGGAAGTTTTCTGGGTAGCATCTTCCTAGTGATTCAAGAGGAGCATTTCTGCTTTTCAAAGCACAGATTACCTTTCCTTTTAAAGCTCTGGTATGTCTTTAATATTACAATTACAAACACACTGGCTGACTTTTCTTACACACTGGCCTCTCTGCCAAGGTTGCTGGAACTCCTGTCAGTAAAATTTTAATTATTTTTTTTATTCCAAGCCAGAGTGGCAAAGCCGGTTGAAGAACCTTGAGGAATGTTAGTTTGCCATGACTTTGTTACTCTGTCAGGGAAAGAAGAAGACAAATGTTTCAGTAGTGTATCCACAGGAGTAGAAAGGGGTTTTTTGAAAGGTCTAATTAATTGTGACTGAATCGGAAGGCAGGCTCTATACACACCATGATCCCAGAGCTTCAGAACATCTGCTTTCTCAGCCTTGATTTAAGCCTTGACAAAACTGAACCCTTTGTGGGTTATGATCAAATGGCATATGTTGGTCTTTGATGTAATTTCTTCTAATTTGTTGAGTAAGAAGCAGAGTTGACACAAACATGGAATAAAATGGTGTGTAATACCAAGGAAAGAGATTTTTTTTTTTTAATGTTCCTCTTACATGGAAAAGCCCAGATCTCAAAATACTCCTCTCCAGTTCTAAGACAAAGTTTGGCCAGGCTCTAAAGGGGGCCTCCAGGATGACAGATATAACTTTGTAGCTTCTCTGCTTCCTTTAACCCAGTGGGTTTTAGAAAAAGTTTGCTGCTATCTAGTTACCCTTTCCTGGCTCTGCTTCTTTTCTGCTAAAACATATCTCTCTCATATAGCTTGGGGTTAATGAGCTTTTGGATTCTGTTTTGGTAGGGTTTTTGACATGCATCCAAATTACATCCCATTAGATGACCTTTTAATCCTCCTTCTGTTGCAGTTGCTGAAGTTTTCAAATACATTTCTTTTGAAAAAGCCATGTAAAAAAATTCTAACCTTTTTAAATCATAGTGAAAGAATCAGTTGGGTGTTAAGGAGTTTGAAGGAGAAGTTCAGTACAGATTTGCTTTCAGACACGGAAGGTTAAAAAATTGAGTTGAGATTTAGAGAGTGAAGAACAATAGAATAACAGGTTAGTTGTAATTGAAAGGTGCCTCTGGAGATCTATTAGTTCTATCCTCTGCTCAAAGCAGTGTTAACTACAGTGGGTTGCACAAAGCCGTGTCCAGCTGGGTTTTGAATATCATAAGGATGAATTCTCCTTAATCTCTGTAAGCAAATTGTACCTGTGTACTCCTGCAGGGAAAAAGGTTTTTCTTAATTTTAAATGAAATTTCCTGTATTTCAGTCTGTACCCATTGCCTCTTCTCCTTTCACTGGATGCAGCTGAAGATGCAGTCTGGTTCTATCTTCTCTACTTGTTCTCATGAAGTATTTATGAAATACTTTATTTATTATTTATACATTGATAAAATCCCTGTTGAAACATCTTTTCTGGAGGCTGGGCAGTTTCAGCTTTCTCAGCCATCCCTTTAAGGCAGGTGCTCCAATCCCTTAGCATGATTGTAGCCTGTTGCTGATTTCCAGTATGTCTGTGTTTCTTCTGAACTGGGGAACCCAGGACTGGACCTAGTGCTCCAGATGTTCTATCAGTGCTGAGTAGAAGCATTGTTGCTTTGGGAACATTACTGACTTAGCTTGAACTTGAGGTTTGCCAGGACTCCCCAGTCCTTTTCTGAAAGAGAATAGAAGGGATAACATTGTGACTTCCTCAGTGTTGATGCTAGTATCTTTTTTACTTTCTGCTTGACTCAGAACCCTTGCTATCATCATTGAGCTATTTCTTGATAATTTCAGATGATCTTGGAATAAGATTTATAGTTAATATTGTTATACAGCAAAGCCTAACAGTGAGGAAAACAAATGCTGCCACTCTCAGAAATCAAACAACAAAAATCTTAAATCTACATTTTCATTAAAGGCTATTTATTTGACAGCTGTAGGCCTGACACACTATTTCTCAATATGTGAATTGTGACTATTCCAGAAGGCTTGCTGGAATTTTGGGCTTTGACACCTTTTCTAATGGATAAATACTTTTCCAGTGCTGCATTCTTCACTGAAGACAACATTATTTGTGGTTTCCAATGGATTTATCACCCCCCTCTTTAATTCTTGTTGCT